TCCAGGAGTTCACATTTGGTACTGGCTTGGTGAAATCTAATTACAGGACACACCACCAGTGTGGGGTGTCTGCCCTGTTTTCTGGCAGTCTGCCCTGAGGTAGGCACTCACTGTTGCGAGCCATTCCAGACAGTGTGACAACTTCAGAATGGAAAGAACTAGGTTATGATGGATTTCTGGCTGAATTGTTAAAAAGCACAGAAGATGGAGGCTTGAAAGCCCTGTCAGAGGTAATGAAGAATATATTTGAGAGAAGAGATGTGCCATAAGATTTTACAATTTCACTGTGTATCCAAATCCCCCAAAAGAAAAACACTATGCATTGTAAAGACTACAGAACAACCAGCCTAGTATCTCATGCCTCTAAAATTCTTTTGCGAGTTGTTCAAGACCAAATACAAGGAAAGATAGATAAGGAAATAAGTGAACAACAATATAGTTTCAAACTTGAAAGGGCATGATAAATGTCATTATGAGCTTAAAGCTCATATTAGAAATATCAAGTGAAATAGGGAAAAATACACTTGTGTTTTATTGATTTCCAAACAGCATTTGACAAAATCTACTCTATATATTTATCAACATATTAAGATCTGTTGGGATTGATTGATATGGACTCCAAGCAATAAAACAAATTTACTGGAGTCAGAAGGCGGTTATAATGGGAGATGAAAATGAAAATCTAATAGAGATCCAGAGAGGAGTGAGACAAGGTTATATAATGTCACTGACTTCATTCAACATTTATAGTGAGTGTTTGATTAAATTAATTGAAGAAACGTAAGAAGGTATTAAGATGAATGAAAATGAGTGAATAATGTTCACTATGAAGATGACACGGTGTTGTTGGCTGATTCAGAAGGTCCAATGAAGTTAGTGGAGATTATTTACAAATATGTCAAAGAATATGGGCTAGAGTTGAATGTGGACAAGACAAAATCTGTGGTGGGATGCAAGGATCCTGGAAAAACACACAAGATTCCAGTGAACAACACAGCCATACAGAAAGTAAGAAATTATTGGTACTTCGGAAGCATCATTACAGAAGTTGGAAGATAAGATACTGAAGTCAGCACCAGAACAGCAAGAGCAAAAGGGACATTATGGAAGAACAAACATCTGAAGAAAAGGGACATAAATCTGAAGATTAATTCTGACGCTTAAAAATTTATATTTGGTCTGTGATAAATTATGGCTGTGAAACATGGACATTCAAACAATTGATAATAAAGAAACTGCAATCCTTCAAATTATGGTATTATAGAAGAATTATGAAAATATCATGGCAAGACCACATAACCAAGGAAAAAGTATCAGAGATTATCAGAATTTAGCAAACAGTAGTCAGTGATCCTATGAAAAAAAAATTGATTTGCAGGGCACATTTTAAGAGGTTCAGAGGGTGACACATATTTATAGGCACTGGAATTGAAAGTTAATGGCAGGAGAACATGAGGAAGAAAAACAATATCTGGAATGGACAGTGTGATATTCTGAGTGGATCAAAAGAACTATTAATCCACAAATAGATAAGCAGAGAATCATAGAGAATGGGCTACCATGGTGGCAAACCTCCAGTAATAGGGATTCTATATAAGAAGAAGAAGGAAGAGCCAAATCCAAACTCCAACAGAACAATTCCTGCTCTGGACACAAGATATGAAGCACAGGGATTTAACATATTTAAAGGGAAAGTACTGAGAAAATATTACATTTTCCAACATTTTTACTGGTTTTCGCCTTCCTGCTTTGCCTAAACCCCAGCTTTCAAACACCAGACCTAATAAATGAGATCTGTTACAAAACTGCTTGTGGATACTAGTAGAAGTAATTACTAACAAAAAAATTAGAAGAACGCTCACCGGTGTTGTAGTGTTTTGTGCAATAACCAAGTTCCTTGTCTTCTTTCAAAATAAATTGTGGCAGGGTTAAGCCTTCGGCAACTTGCACTGGACCATCACTTAGCCACTCAAATATCAGATCATTCATAGTGTACCCAACTAGAATAAACAAATCGCAGTTCATTAGATAATAGAGTACAGTTTCAGATGGAAACAAATTATGACTCAGAAAATATCCTCACTTTTGAATGGGCAAACTTCGATACAAGAGTTTCTAATTGATCCAGGAGCTGAACTACATTAACTACAGTTATTATTAAAACTTTGAAATAGCATCAAATATGTAATAGTACTAGAGGCAAAATATTCAACTAAAATCTCAAACGTGCGGCATATCTGCTTTGGTTTATTTCTAATAAAAAGTCAATGTTAATAGCCTGTCAAAGATATTAATGCTCACAGCACAAATTATATTTCACTGTAGCTATGTATCAATTTCTGTACTTTGTTTTATTTTTGTCACTCTGGTTACAGAATTATTGCATTCTACCAACATGAGTATTTCTAGATTACAATATGTTGGATCTTATCAGTAACAAAATTGAACGACTTCTATAATTCTTTGAAACTCAGCATAGAGAAATACATAGCAGAAAGAGAAAAGTGAAGAACAGAGTGGACAATGCAGAGAAAAAAAGAGTGAAAATGCAAAAGGACAGTCACTTAAAACACTCCCGGCTCTTGTTTCACTCTAGTGAGACAGCAGCATTGTGTCTCACTATGCAGATTACAGATTGCAGAGACTTTCTGGAGTGATGATCTCCACTGTAAGGCACAATAATGAAGCTGTGAAATTTGATTTTAAAAAACACAGCTCTTCACTAGGTAAGTCAGCTGGTTACTCACAGCTTTCTAGTTGCATTGTACAAGTCTGCACATCCATCGGAAAATTCTTCAAGTCCATTGGACACGATAAGGTTAATGTTAGCCTAAATATGGGCAAGAAAGGAAACTGCTGTTAGAAATCTTTGCAAGTTATATCCTAAGCACAACATTTATAGGCCAACAATGTTTAAAGTGATGCAGTCAAGCTTTAGAGACCCAGAGGTTTAGTCCTTCGCCCCATCCTCTAGTGATTTGGGATGAGTCCTGCACTGGTGTTAGAATTCTAACTTCTAAGACAGAGTGCCCGTAAGCAAGCAGGATGCTCATTGATTGCAGTGGTTTATAGTAGCCCAGAGCCAGCAGGGACTGCAGAAAGATAGCAGGGCATGCCAATGTGTTATTGTGCAATCTGTATGTTTTACGTATAACAACGAACCCAAACAATGTAGCATCTTGAGTTATAGGTCATCTCCGCTAGGATTTTAACTCTTGTAGCCTCTGTTTTTTTTTGTTTTTTTGTTTTATTTTGGGGGGGGGGGTGCGGGCAAATGGTGAAAACACAATCACAGGGATATTTGAAAACAGAAAGTGTAATGCATATAAAGTGAATGCTTAGCCCATCATCCTTGCCACGGACCTTTGAAAAACAAAAAGGTAGTAAAGGCTAAATCTGCAACATTAGACATTGAATGCAAACGTTAAAAGACAAAGAGCATAGATAGGAAAAGTAAGCTTAAAGGGACTTTGTCAACTCTGAATTTTTTTTATTTACTACTGCTACAAGTAACACCCAAGAATACTTTAACTGAGAGACTTTTTAAATTTTCTCATTTCTTTTTACTTTACTTTTTGCATTTGACAGGACTTTCTTTACAATCAGTTTCACTAGTTTCCCCTGTACAGGGAGAGAAAAACATTTGTATCAAAATAAGAAAATGTGATGATAAAATCATAAAAATGAGCAGGAGGACTCATATACAGGTGTAGTAACCAAAATGACTTACATCATATTAAAAAAAAATATGATTAGATTTAAAGATACGATGTCTTCAAGCTATGTTGCCATCATTCTTACCACCAAAATGAATATTATTGTTATGGATGTCTGATCATTTTAAGCTGTAGTTATTTCTGAGATATTATTTAAGATTTATATTGCAGTAGACTCCAGAGGCTCCAATCAGATTCAGGCCACCTCCAATGGCCTAGGTTCTGTACAAAAATATAGAAAGAGTCTGTCACACCTGTATACCTGATCCACTCCAGGAGTTCCCAGCCAGGTCTCAGGTCTCCTACCATCACCTGTCTATGGGAAGGGACCCTCATCTCATTCCCTTCTGACTGGGTGTTTTAAGGCTGCACAGCTCCCTGCCTTAAACTATGCTATCTCAGCAAGCCAGTCTGCCTAAAGACCAGTGCCTTTGTTTTGCTTTCTCTCACAGGGCTATGAGCACTGTATTGCCAGCTGTTACCAGTAACTACACAGCTCTTTCTACGCAAGCGCATCTATTCTTAAGGTAAAAGCATTACACAGAAAACATAAAAACAATGGAAGTTCCTATGCACATGCTAAAAGATAACCAGAGGTTCCCAATCAGTCTTACAGGGCCCTAGTATGCCAAAGTCTTTCCAACCCTTCTGTGAGGGCTGGAAGAAGGTCCTGTCCTTTTGCTGGATCAGAAAAAAGGTCCTGAGTCAGTTTATATCAAAAGCCCTTTCACTGTTTCTTGGTCTCTGGAAAACCCAGTTTTAACAAGTATATGGAACCCTCCCCAGAGGGTGGTACTTCTCTAGACACGTTTACAAAATATAAACTGGTTCCTGGAAGAACTGGGGCTCATAGAGACAGTCCTTATCCCATGGAACTTACAATCTTATCTACACACTTCAGCTACCAAACAAAGAGTGGCATATGAGCATCAGTGTTGGTGGGCCTTGTGAATAGGTGGATTTTAACAGGTGGATTTTAAGTGATTTGAAGATGGACAGGGCTTGGCATTTAAATATATATATATATATTGGCATCTCAAAAACTATATTATTTGAGGTATTAACTACAAGAAAACAAACTGAAAATCCACAAAAGTATCTGCAGTAAATCTACTGTACTATAACATGCCATCAGTAGATTGGTTAGCTACCACAACTACGGTTGGGTAAAATTTAAAACAAATTCATGTTGAATATCTTTGTGCCCCTTTTATGTGTGCTTTTCAGAAGTATTTTTATGAATGAGCATTTACTTGTGAGAATGCTCACAAAAATAAAATGTTAAGCTTGTATGTTTGAATATTTCCTGAAAATGTATTTTGAATTGAATTGTGAAATTAATTTTACAGCTTGAAATTTGTCCCATTGTTGATTAGTTACAGAAGTCCTCCAATCATAGAACAGACCCAGTACAGCATAATTTAAATAACATGGCATGAATTTTTAATGTTCATGAATAGTTCATTGCAAACAATCCGCAGACCAAAAATTATTCACTGAAGAAATTAGTGATTAATTTCAAACAGAAATTCAAGAATTTCAGAAAAACATTTCTAGGAGAATTCTGATAGCAAAGAGGCAAAATTCATGAAATACATTTTCCATTACAAATTAGTCTCCCACTTCTAATCAATCCAATACCTTGCTTAGGGCCTATACCAAAGTCCACTTTTGAAGTCACTGAAGGCTTTCAATTGACTTCAATAAGATCAGGCCTTTAGATCAGTATTTAAACATTATGGTGATGGGTGCTACAGAAAACCAATGGAAGATATTTCTCCCAAATTAAGAGTCAAATAGGATGTGAATGAAAAATATCAGCCATAAGGGAACTAATTCAATCAATGTATCTTGAAAAAGATGAGGCTGGTCATCAAGAAAACTTCCTTTGTAGAAATATAGCTGTAATGGTATCGTATTTTGTTGTTGTCTATTACCCACACACTTCCTTGGCTTCCCAGGGTATGTCTACACTGCAATTAAAATCCTACAGCTAGTCCATACCTGCTGAATTGGTCTCAAAGGGCTCAGGCTAAGGGGCTGTTTAATTGCCTTGTAGACATTTGGGCTTGGGCTGGAGTCCAAGATCTGGGACTCTCCCACGTCACAGAGTCCCAGAGTTTGGGCTCCAATCTTGCCTGCATGTCTACCCAGCAACTAAATAGTCCCTTATTCTGAGCCCCGCAAGCCCAAGTCAAGCACATTAATATGAAAAATCCAATAATAGTAAAATATTTAAAACTAGTTGCTTGAGCATTGGCCTGCTAAACCCTGGATTGTGAGTTCAATTCTTGAGGGGGCCATTTAGGGAACTGGGGTAAAAAACTGTCTAGGGATTGGTCCTGCTTTGAGCAGGGGGTTGGAGTAGATGACCTCCTGAGGTCCCTTCCAACCCTAATATTCTATGATTCTATGATTTCAATGGATCATCGTTCAATCTCCCTATCTAATCTTGCAGTTTTGTACCTTAAGGCAGTAGTTGATTTCCTAAAGTTAATACATATGAATGAATGAATGAAAGGATCCTTTTTGTGCAGCATAGGGATTTAAACTTTAGGAGATCAAATACTACAGTAATATAGTGTGTATATCTATCTATCTATCTATCTATCTATCTATCTATCTATCTATCTATCTATCTATCTATCTATCTATCTATCTATCTA